CGTCCATTAGCACATTCTATTGTACTCTAAATCCATATCCTCATTAACTTCAATTCATTTCCCTAAACGACCAGTGCAACAGCATTAGCATCTGGAGCAGCGCTGGCCTTTATCAGATGTTTGCACGATGCACAACATATCAAGCTGATATTCTGTGGAAAATATCAACGTTTCATGACAAGTTCACAAAAAGATTTGCATTTCTTTAATTAAAGGGAGACACGCAAGGCACGGCTGGTCATGTGATCTCAACATGGCAGCTCCCATAAGGGAGCTCCTCTGCAACCTTAATCAAACTCACATGTCTTTAAATTCTCTTTCAGATCCTATTTAGTTGGTTTAGTTGCGTTTGATCAGGGTTGTAGCTAAACTCTGCAGGAAGGTAAATCTCCAGGAACAGGGTTGTGCAGCCCTGATGTACAGTATAGAGTAGTGTTGGTTATGAACGATGTGTCTGCACTTCACTGTTTTGTAAAAAATTATTTGCTCGCAGAATCTTTAATCAAAAATCACAACCTTCTTTACTTTCGGTCACATGGAATGCCTTTTGGGTGGAGCCATCGGTCATTCGGGGCAGGGCTATTAGTAACTTGGATTATGACTATCAGTCCTTTAGGGTGGGGCTATCAGTAAATTAGGGTGTGGCTATCAGTCCTTTAGGGCGGGGCAATCAGTAATTTAGGGCAGTGCTATCAGTCATTTAAAACTTGGCTATCAGTTCTTTAGGGTGGGTCTATCAGACTTTAGGGCGGGGCTATCACTAATTTAGGGTGAACCTATCAGTAACTTAGAGTGGGACTAACACTAATTTAGGGGCGGGGCTATCAGTCATTTGGGGCATGGCTATCAGTTCTTTAGGCCGAGGCTATCAGTAATTTAGTGTGGGGCTATCAGTCATGTAGGGCAGGGCAATCAGTCATTTAGGAAAGGGCTATCAGTCCTTCGGGGCAAGGCTATCACTGCGTTAGGGTGAGGCTTTCAGTAATTTAGAGTGGGTCTATTAGTCATTTAAGGGACGTCTATCAGTCCTTTAGGGTGAGGTTATCAGTAATTTAGGGTGGCACTATCAGTCATTTGGGGTGGGGCATTCGGTCCTTTAAGGCGAGGCGATCAGTAATTAAGGGCAGGGCTATAGGTCATTTAGGACAGGGCTATCAGTAATTTTGGGCAGGGTTATCAGTCCTTTATAGGGTAAGGTTATATCAATAATTTAGGGTGGGGCTGTCAGTCATTTAGGGTGAGGCTATTACTAATTTAAGGTGGGTCTATCAGTCATTTACTGTTGGGCCATCAGTCTTTTATGGCTGGGCTATCAGTCATGTATGGCGGGGCTATCAGTTATTCAGGGCGGGGCTATAAGTCATTTAGGGCGGGGCTATCAGTAATTTATGGCGGAGCTATCAATGATTTGAAGCAGGACCATCGTTCAATTAGGGAATCGCTTTCAGTAATTTAGGGCGGGCTATAAGTCATTTAGGGCAGGGCTATCAGTATTTTATGGTGGAGCTATCAATCAGTTAGAGCAGGGCCATCAGCCAATAAGGGCAGAATTTTCAGTAATTTAGGGTGGGGCTATCAGTAATTTAGGGAGAGGCTATCAGTGATTTAAGGCAGTGCTATCAGTCCTTTAGGGTCGGGCTATCAGTAATTTAGGGAGGAGCAATCAGTAATTTAGGGCGGGACTACCAGTCATTTAGGACATGGCTATCAGTCCTTTGGGGTGGAGTTTCAGTCCTTTAGGGTGAGGCTATATCAAGAATTTAGGGTGGGGCTATCAGTGATTTAGGGTGGGGGTATCAGTCTTTTGGGTAGGGGCTATCAGTTCTTCAAGGCGAGGTGATCAGTAATTTAGGGCGGGGCTATCAGTAATTTAGGGCAGGGCCATCAGTCATTTGGGGTGGGCTATCAGAGTGTGCCGTTTCTGCTTCATTCATTCGTCAATCTTCTTTCGTTTTTGTTAACAATTCCCATCCTCCAAAAATTCAATCAGTTCCCAAAGTACAAAATTGTGCATCACACTACTTTTTTTCTCATTTCAGCATCATTTGAAGTAGATGTACATCATGGTGCAGGGGAAAAAGCACAATTTTAACTCATGTATCATGACAACTTTAATATTAACACTTGGTAATCATCAAATGCAGGCAAAAATTTACACTGGCAAGTATATAAGTATGCTTTACTCTTCAGTTGGCAGGCACTTAAAAAATAAATATAATAATTTTAACAAAGGCAGAAAATGTGATTTGGTTTACCATAATTATTCAATTGCAAAGAGTGTGCTGGATTCCCATAAATATGTTATTTGATGCGCTGCATGTAAAAACATAACATGTACTAGACATCTTCTGAAGGTTGAAAAAAAAAAAAGGAAAACATGGAGCAGGAAGCATCCCTGTGGTTTTCCCTAAAAATAAAGGTCCTGTGGTCTGTTTGAAAGCAAAGGCAAGTGTTTTATGCCCACCGAGGCCACATTTATTTGATCAAAAGTATAGTAAAAACAGTAACATTGTGAAATATTAATACTTATTACAATAATTTAAGATATATTAAAACATAATTGAACTATGCAACCCAAAGCATTTTTGTAGGATCAGATTACAGTATATGATGATGGTTTATACTATATTTACTTTAAAATCAATAATTAATACTGATCAGTATAAATTCATTCATGATTTAATTTATTTTAAATATGATTGTTTTTATTACCTTATATGTTTTACCACAATTTTTTATTTGAAAAATAATAATATCATTAATAATATTAATAAATATGAAAAAAAGTTACCTCAAATGTTTAAATGGCCAAACAAAATCTTTAGCATAGAATAAACATCTTGAGTTAGAAGTTAAAACAGCTTGACAAAGAGAAGTGATGCATGTTAGCCAAATAGATGTAGCATAGCATGCATGCAATAATAAATCCTGCATTTAAAAGGTCCATCATATAAGAGTTAGACATATCAGAAAACTCCTTCCATCTTGTTTCCTTCCATTTTTTATTTTCTTGTCTCTTGTCCTCTCACTCTGTGGTTTATCTAGCAGCCGGAGAAAGAGAGAACGTGCAGAGCATGCTCAGATTTCACATTTCTTCATCCATCATATTCACAGACATGGTTTCATTATCTCAGACTCTCTCTCTCTCTCTGATAAACGAGTTCCGTGACACAAGGGCTGACATTCCCTTAGGACATACACACTACACAGACTGTGTGTGTGTGTGGTCCAGGCTCTATTGTGTTATCACAAGAATCTGCTTTTATGAAGGATTTGATTTACAATCCTGAGGCATGGTCTAGGATTTTTCCATCTGATTATTTAAGATAATAAACGCGTATGCTAGCTTGATTGACCGACTACTTTGAGAATAATTTCGATATTAAATTTATCTTCACAGAATTATGCATTTAGCTTAACGACGTCAGACTGTAACATTAACCATTACTTTTAAAGAGGATCCAAGTCTGAGATAATAGGGGAGTCCACAGCATAATAAAGCAGGACACTGACATAAAAAAATCCCAGCAATCATTTTCAGAGCTAATGTAATGTGATTAATAAGTAAAATAGTTCTTTAAATAACTCAAATCTACCTAATTAGCACCAGATTATGGAATAGAATGATAGAAATAGACTTTTTCTTTTTCAGTGGATATGATGTACATTCATTCATCTTCTGCCGCTTTTCCGGGGCCGGGTCGCGGGAGCAGCAGTCTTAGGAGAGAACCCCAGACTTCCCTATCCCCAGACACTTCCTCCAGCTTCTCCGGGGGGATCCCGAGGGGTTCCCAGGCCAGCCGAGAGACATAGTCCCTTCAGCATGTCCTGGGTCTTTCCCGAGGCCGCCTCCCAGTGGGACATGCCTGGAACACCTCCCTAGGTAGGCGTCCAGGAGGCATTCCCGAGCCACCTCAGCTGACTTCTCTTGATGTGGAGGAGCAGCGACACTACTCCGAGCTCCTCCCGGGTGTCAGAGCTCCTCACCCTATCCATAAGAGTGCGCCCTGCCACCCTTCGAAGGAAACTCATTTCGGCCGCTTTTATCCGAGATCTTGTCCTTTCGGGCATGATCCAAAGCTCATGAACATAGGTGAGAGTAGGAACGTAGATTGACCGGTAAATCGAGAGCTTTGCCTTTCGGCTCAGCTCCTTCTTCACCACAACGGGCCGGTACATCGACCGCATTACTGCTGCCACTGTACCAATCCGCCTGTCAATCTCACGTTCTATCCTTCCCACTCGTGAACAAAACCCCGGATGATATATATATATATATATATATATATATATATATATATATATATATATATATATATATATATATACACACACACATATATATATATACATATATACACACACACACACATATATATATATATATATATATATATATATATATATATATATATACATATAAGGGAATGGTATATACACTCTAAAAAACGCTGGGTTGGTTTTTTAACCCAAATGCTGGGTTGAGACTGCTGGGTAACAAAATTGGGTTGATTCAACCCAATTTGGGTTGAAAATCGATCTTTATCTATAACCCAGCAGTGCTGGGTTGGGAACGCGGACGTGAAAGAGAGCACGCACGTCACGTAAACATGCAGGGACATCAACGTGAGAAACCGCCATTTTCTTTGAGCTGTCTTTGAGGGGAAGCGAGTGAAATTCTGTGTGAGACGTAAGTTATTTAGTGTGTATTTAACAATTTTCATAAGAAATAACACACTTAGTTTACTTAGTATAATATACACGCGCTTTTTTTCTGTTTCTCCGCCTGATGGCCGACTTGTTGCTCCGCCTCACGCTGACCTGTGCTCGCCTTATGGCTGAACCGTTGCTCCGAGTCCGCCTGACGAGCCACCTGTTTCTCCGGATCTGTTTCTCCGCCTAACGGCGACCTGTTTCTCCGGACCTGTTTCTCCGGACCTGTTTCTCCGCCTAACGGCGACCTGTTTCTCCGGACCTGTTTCTCCTAACGCCCGAGCTGTTGCTCCGCCTAACGCCTGACCTGTGCTCGCCTCACGCCCGACCTGTTGCTCCGCCTCACGCCCAGCCTGTTGATCGGTGGACGGGTAAGCGCGCATGGCATCGGAAGGAGCTCGAAAAGTATAAGGTAACTAATGAAACTAACGTGAAGCATGTTTGATGACCACTTTATAAACACAACACCTAGGATAATTTAGCAGCTTTTTATTGTAATAAAATGCCTTTTGAATGACACAGATTTTTATGTTGGCTAGATGATGACAGTAAGTAACGTTACTGTGATTTGTGATCTTTCTGGGGTGTTAACTGTAAAGCAGTAAGTAGTATTTTTACTCTTGTATTTCTTAAGTTTGTTCATGGATTTTTGTGACAATACTTTGATGCATAAGTGTTGAATTCAGCTTCTAACAATGTTTTTTTTTTTATCAAAATATATACAATAATTGTCCTGGTCTGCATGTACATTTTGTTTAGCTGTACATCTGTACATTGAATAGCAAATGTTATTAATTTACTATGAGCATTTTACATTCTAGACGTGATTTGAGCTATCTTTAATTAATCCTGTATGTAAGGGTCGTTTCATGCTAACGGAAATGTCTGAGCTAAGGCTAATTCCAACCTAATCATCTTCGACTGCAAAAAGAAAAAGTTTGACCACCGTTTTATGTGACACCCTGGATAATTATTATCATTTAGGAGTATTTTTGTGATATAGTGACTTTTGGCTAACATGATCTTTTTTTACTTAATTTTGCTTAAACGCTTTTATCTGTTATTCTTTTTCAGATGGATAATTGCGTGAAAATCAAACTTAAAGAATGCAATCTTGAGGAGTTAATCCCCACATTTGAAGGTATGTAATAATATTTTACTTGGTTCATTGTAATCATTAGGGCTGCCCTTGTCTAAACATTTGTCTGGTTGACTTGTAATGTTCATTTGAAGCATTAGTTGAATAATTACAGATTTATTAATAAACCATTTATTCATTAATTCATTTTCTTTTTGACTCAGTCCCTTTATTAATCTGGGGTCGCCACAGCGGAATGAACCGCCAACTTATCCAGCATATTTTTTACACAGCGGATTCATGCAGCATACATTGACTTTGCCAGTGTGGACTTTTTTTCTGCAACTAGTGGGTAGCACATTCGCCTCATAGCAACAAGGTCACTTGATCGATCCTTGGCTGGGTCAATAGGCCTTTCTGTGTGGAGTTTGCATGTTCTCCCCGTGTTCGCGTGGGTTTCCTCCAGGTGCCCCGGTTTCCAAAGACGTGGTAAAGGTGAATTAAGTAGACTAAATTGTCAATGGTGTATGTGTGTGAATGAGTATTTGTTTCCCAGTGATGGGTTGCAGCTGAAAGGGCATTCGCTGCATAAAACTTATGCTGGATATGTTGGTGGTTCATTCCATTGTGGTTACCCCAGATTAATAAAGCGACAAAGCTAAAAAGAAAATGAATGAATGAATAATAAATTTTTAGTTGACTAATGGTTATTCAATTATTAGGGGGCAGCCCTAGTAATCATTAGCCACTTCAATACTTTAAACTGAGAGATTGAACTCTAATGCCAATTTGTTTTTGTCTGGTTATTTTTTAAAATCTGCTGTTCATGCAACCAGTGACATTCTCTTGTTTTATTTTTAGCACAGGAGCGAACCTTTCCTCGTTTTTAGGTCAATTTGAATACAATTCAGAGGGTAAGGATTCAATTAAAGGTTTCTCGATGCATAATGATGCATTTAATGCATAATGATTGTCTTAGTTATTTTATTAACAATCAAAATGTTATTTTTATGTTTGTTATTAGGGTGGCATGGGGGTGCAGTGGGTAGTGCTGTCGCCTCACAGCAAGATGGTCGCTGGTTTGAGCCTTGGATGGGTTTCCCCTCCACAGTCCAATGACATGCGGTGTAGCTGAATTGGGTAAGCTGAATTGTCCATAGTGTGTGTGTAAATGAGAGTGTGATGGGTTGCAGTTGAAAGGGCATCTGCTGCGTAAAACATAAAAAGATGTCACCCAAGATGTTCATGTCATTCTTTCTTTAGTCAGAAAGATTTTTTTTTTAGGAAAATATTTCAGCAATTTTATCCATCTTGAACTGAGATTGTGCCTCATTTTTGAAGTTTTTAAAGAAAATTTAAATGCGGCTTCAAATTATACAAATACGGTTGCAAACAGTCCCAGCTCAGGAAGAAGGGTCTTATCTATTCTCATTAAGAAAACACAATTAAATACTTAATAATTTCAAATGCTCATCTTGCCTTACTATTACTTATTAAAAAAAGTTCCTTAGGCAAACCTGTTGTTGCATTGTCATCTTCACTCGGGCCAAAAAATTGCAGCATAGTGCCATGGTCAGTGGTTAACTAATGCCAACACTGGCTGATAGCTTGGTGTGTTATGGCCTTAATTGCTTCTAAAGGTATTTTAGGTGTTCTAAAGTTAACTCTAAAGATATTTAACTTTTACACTTTAGAGTCTTTAATAAATCTTACTTCTATTTATTTTTTCAGATTGGGACCAATATTGCTGAGTATCTTCATCCATTGAATTCAAGAATCTATTGAGTTTCCTCATGTTCTCATCCTTGGAGACCACCACTTCTTTCAAGCCTTTGCTCACGTGCTGTGCTATTTATTATTGCAAAGTACATTACTTGCCAAAGTGAACGTTTGCTATAAAGCATTCTACATCTTTGGTGTGAACTACCCCAAGCAGTGTTCCCTGGTGTGGCAGACTGTGGTTTATGGACATCCTGGGGAGGAGACACTAGCAGTAAGGGTTCTGCTAGCATTAATTTTTGCTGACAAACAGTAATCATTAATACTGTGACCTCACTGCTTCCTTGGATTCTGTGTTCTTTAACTTGTACTTTGGATTGTGGGGGAAAAGGAGCACCCAGAGAAAACCCACACGAACACGGGGAAAACATGCAAACTCCACACAGAAACACCAACTGACCCAGCTGAGGCTTAAACCACCGACCTTGTTGCTGTGAGGCAATCGTACTACCCACTGTGCCACCATGACACCCATTTCTAAAGAATAGTTTTAATAACTCATTTCTAATAACTGATTTCTTTTCTCTTTGCTATGATGACGGCACATAATAATGGACTAGATATTTTTTTAAGACACTCTACACTGCAGTTACATTGCAACTAATGTTTCTTACAGACTCTTTTATATCTCAGGATTGATGTTTGCACATGATTGTTCGAGTAAAAGTTAAAAAAAGTTTTCCTATTTCAAATTTGTTTTAAAATGCTTCCATCCTCAGGTTTCATTTTAACTTTTATATCTGTTTTTTCTTCAAAACTGCATTTACATTGAACTTGATCATCCTTACTGATGATTGCTTTATAGCTCATATATTGATGTTTGCACATAATTGTTAAAGGGAAAGTTATAAAATGTTTTCTTATTTTTTCTTAATATAAAATTTGTATTTTCTTAGTTTTTATTGTTTGTTTTGTTTTTTCAAGCTGTTTGATGCCTTTTCATTATTACTTTCACATATTTTTTTCTGCATTGCAGTTGATGATTTATATGAGAATATGTTGATGTTTGTGCTCAAATTACTTTCTGACTTCAGTCATTTAGATGCATTTTCATTATTACTTCCTTATACTATTGTTTTTTCTACTCTGCAATAACATTGCAATTGCCTTACTGATGATTCCTGATTTATAAATGATGCAAATGTTTTTGAATGTATTTCAAATATGCATTTTCTTAAGGTAATTTGTCTGATTTCAGTCTGATGCATTGTTACTGAACTTTAGTCAGTGTTTCTGTGATACAGTTTGATAAATTTTCACAGAAATCGTCTTAACAACCCTTTCAAAAAAAAAATTGGATTGCATTTCTCAACTGCTAATGTCGCTATTGAACACAATCAGTACATTTTAACACATATTATAATTTCTAAAATATCAACCTCTACCAAATGATTGATATGTATGTTTATGGTAAAAGTACCAGAATTATGAAAAATCTGAAAAATTATGTGTAAGACCAATAAAAAAAAAAAAAAAAAAAAAAAATATATATATATATATATATATATATATATATATATATATATATATTTAAAAGAAATATTTTGAACACTAAATCATCTTTTTTCTTATGACTTTAACAGTCATTATTTAAAACAGTAAAAACGAGGTCAACCATTTGGTAGAGCAGGCAGTCAAAGGGTTAATGCTGAGGTGCAGATGGGAAAAATCTCAAATTCATTTGGACACATTTTATCTTTTGTCATAAATAAAATTCCATTACTGAACAACTATGTATTGCTGTAGAATTTGTTTTTATTTTAGTGATTTTAATCATCAGTTTCTAGATTAAATTTCTGACCCATTTTGGGTTACATTCAACCCAGCAGTGTAGTAATTTTTAACTAATAGTTGGGTTAAAATCACAACCCAGCATGCTGGGTTAAACTTGTAACCCAACTTGCTGGGTTAAAGTAACCCAGCGTTGGGTTAGTCCCTTTTTTACCCAGCGCTGGGTTACCAAAACAACCCAAATTGGGTTGTTTTCAACCCAGCAGTTTTTAGAGTGTATATATATATATATATATATATATATATATATATAGCTCCTGAAAGTAAAGATCAAGGTCACCAGACATGAATATTTTAAACATATCTGTGGTAAGATGATGGAGGAGTCATTGAAAATGAATCCAAAATATCTTGATGAACTCCGGGAGTCCTGCAAGAACGCTTTCTTTGCCGTTCCAGATGACTTTATTAATAAGTGATTTGAGTCAGTGCAGAGATGTATGGATGCAGTCCTCCAAGCTCATGGGAGTAATGCACAATATTCATTCTGTTTCCACTGCAGCATGACTTTATATTCTATACTGGACATTATTTCTGTTCAGTGACAAAACTTTTGTCTAAGAAAAGTCAGACCTTACTGTCCTAATGAAATATTTAAAAATCAAGGCATGATCATATTTAATTTTGGTAAAATAAGCAAAATCTTGAGGCCTTTGCCTTTCATATAAGTCACTTCTGATACCAAAAGATCAACTAGAAGTCAAGTAATTACTTCTTGTCATTAAAACTAGGATATATGACAAAACTATATCAGGTAGTGTACTTCATATCATGAAATAAAAAAACCATTTAGAGCTGAATCAACAGAGATGAGTAAATGACAAATGTTTAACTTTGGGTGAACCATCTGTTTGAATCTCCAATGAAAGCTGCAGGCACATGCCTACACTGATTCCCTGTGTAAACACATTACAGCAGATGAAGCAGAACTTGATATGTGTAATAATCAAATACCATTTATTAGACTGGAAAAGATCCTGAAATCTCTGATCGCTGAATAGCTTTGAGGATAAACTCCATCTCTGAGCGGTTCAAAACAGCTTAAACTTCCCAAACACATTCTCATCTTTCAGAGCACTCGAGACACACACAATAGCCACGAAATCCTGGAAAAATGGTGTCTCTGCCTTCAGGGCTTAAGAGGAGAGGAAAAGAGACTCTTTGTATGCCATTCTCCACTGATTAGAGGAAGCATTCCCAGGATTCCTCAGTGGCAAACATGGGTCCAACGCCGCTGGCAACATTCCTATGCCCCCCATTCATGCTTTCATGAGATATCGTGGAGGAAGAAAAAACAGCGATTTGACACTAATATGAGGTCTGCAATCTATCAATAGTCTTTTAAAGTGACAGAGATTAAGAGAAAGCCAGTTTGGCATGCTGAAGAAGAAGAAAAAAAGCACCCAAACAGTGCAGTATAGTGCGCCAGTTCATGACTGACTCAAGAAATTCCAAAGCCTCGAATGTTGAAGAAAAAAGACTGATCTAATAAAATGTATGCCGGTCTGAGAAAAATGTCCACAAAGAAATACTTTTACCAAAATAAAGCATTAAAGCTTTAACCATTTCAGGGCTCGACAATAAGGACTGCCCGATGGCCCGGGGCTAGTGTGAGAGATGCTCGAGACAGTTGACAGAATCGTTACTGGCCCAATAGTGTCACTAAATTTCAATTTGTCTGCTACTATTTGTCAATTGCATGCAAATACAGTCTTAGAATCGAGAAACAGTTTGTGTTTTTTAGTCTTTGAATGCAACCTTCTCTGTGAAGTTGTAAACACCATATTGCATTTCGATTCCTCTTATCTGATTGGATCAGACAACATGCAACATGGCGGCAACATCAAAATATGAGGCTAAAAGAAAACGTATGGGTAGTGGCTGATAGGGCATCTGCTGCATAAAAATGTGCTGGATAAATTGGCAGTTCATTCCCCTGTGGTGACCTCGGATTAATAAAGGGACTCAAATATAGATAGACAAGAAAATGAATGAATGAATTTAAGACCATTATTATTAGCCCCCTTAGCCATATGTTTTTTTTATTGTCTGCAGAAGAAACCAACATTAAACAATGACTTGCATAATTACCCTAATAAAGCCTTTGAATCCCACTTTAAGTTGAATGCTTGTATCTTGAAAAATATGTAGTAAAATATTATGTGCTGTATTCATCAATTATTAGAAATGAGTTATTAAATCTATTATGTTTAGAAATGTCTTGAAAAAAACTTCTTTCTGTTAAACAGAAATGGGGGGGGGGGGGGTGCTAATAATTTAGGAGGGCTATTAATTTTGACTTTAACTTAGTATATGCAGTTATTTTCCTCCCAGTAAATAAGGAAATGGAAATAAATACAATAGAATAAAAACAAACTGTGTTTTAAGCATCTTCACTGTAAGAAAAAAATAATAATTATAGCTACAAAAGTCCTTCAGTCAGAGCAGTAAGTGATTTTATCCTTTTGTTGTTTGATTAATGATAAAAACAGTCGGCAGCTTTAAAAACAGTACCGTTCTGATTTATGGTTTCACTTTTACATGTCTTTTTTTTTTTGACTCTCAACATCCCCTGCTGCAAAAGTTACATTACACTACATGCTTTTAGTAATTTACACATGAAACTGAGCAGAGCAACAAATGTGTACAGCTGGAAAGGGGCGGTATATGATGCAGTAATCGCTTTATCTCGATTAATATTTTTTTCACAATCATTAGAGGTCAAAATCGCAATCGAAACTGAATTTTCGATTAACTGCACAGCCCTAATAAAAAACTTTTCAAAATATTTGGTTAAAAAGCCTTGGAAAACCTTTCCACAAAATATACGCATTACAAAATGATGTCACACGCACCAAAGTGAATCTACGCCAACACTGCGATGACGTCACATTCGCCGCGCACACTCAAGCTAACTAGTGGATGGATGCATCGAGTATAAACCAGGCTTCAGTTTCCATTATCCTGGCCTAACTAGTATGGTTAGATCCCAATACTACAGTCACACGCTCTAAACACTTAATTTGCATTGATTAATTGATTGCTAATTTAAACAATGGTCAGTAGTGAAAATGTTTGGATACTGCCATTCCAAGTGTAAACAGACATTGCCAGAACCATGAATAAAAGTTTAAGTAACTGCTGTAAGCCCAAACAGGTGGCAATAAAAAACAATTTTCTTTTTTCACTTGTAACACTATCCATTCCTGACAAAGCAGAGAAAGGGAGGATGCAGCTCAATCCTACAGTCTGTCTGAGGAATACAGATGACGCAGATCGGAATAAAGACGAGGAACACTGTTTCTATGGCAACCGTCCTCCCTGTCTTATCCGAGGCTCTGACTATACTGCCTCCCAGTTTGAAGGCTTTTTCTTCTTTTTCCTCGTTCGATAAAAGAACACAGACCACCTGGAGGGAGACCACACTAGTTAGTGAGCTCAAAACAGGGTTCCCACACTTCATCTGTGATTAGCTGATAAAGACGTTTTATGAAAAAGCATTTTATAGAGACTACACTTGAGGAGAGCTTATGGATATATTTGGAAGGGTTGATTTCGAAGTCAATTAGCC